CCTGGGAAGCCATCTGGCCCTGGGCTTTTGTTTGTTGGGAGATTTTTGATTACTGCTTCAATTTCCTTACTGGTTATGGGTCTCTTCGGGTTTTCTATTTCTTCCTGGTTCAGTTTTGGTAGTTTGTACGTCTCTAGGAATGCATCTGTTTCTTCCAGATTATCTAATTTGCTGGCATATAGTTGCTCATAATATATTCTTATAATTGTTTATATTTCTTTGGTGTTGGTTGTGATCTCTCCTCTTTCATTCATGATTTTATTTATTCGGGTCCTTTCTCTTTTCTTTTTGATAAGTCTGGCCAGGGGTTTATCAATCTTATTAATTCTTTCAAAGAACCAGCTCCTAGTTTCGTTGATCTGTTCTACTGTTCTTTTGGTTTCTATTTAATTGATTCTTTCTCTTCTGCTGGTGGGTTTAGGCTTTATTTGCTGTTCTTTCTCCAGCTCCTTTAGGTGTAGGGTTAGGTTGTGTATTTGAGACCTTTCTTGTTTCTTGAGAAAGGCTTATATTGCTATATACTTTCCTCTTAGGACTGCCTTTGCTGCATTCCAAAGATTTTGAACAGTTGTGTTTTCATTTTCATTTGTTTCCATGAATTTTTAAAATTCTTCTTTAATTTCCTGGTTGACCCATTCATTTTTTAGTAGGATGCTTTTTAGCCTCCACGTATTTGAGTTCTTTCTAACTTTCCTCTTGTGATTGAGTTCTAGTTTCAAAGCATTGTGGTCTGAAAATAGGCAGGGAATGATCCCAATCTTTTGGTACCGGTTGAGACCTCATTTGTGACCCAGGATGTGATCTATTCTGGAAAATGTTCCATGTGCACTCAAGAAGAACGTATTCTCTTGCTTTAGGATGAAATGCTCTGAATGTATCTGTGAAGTCCATCTGGTCCCATGTGTCATTGAAAGCCCTTGTTTCCTTGTTGATCTTCTGTTTTAGATCATCTGTCCATTGCAATGAATGGGGTGTTAAAGTCCCCTACTATTATTGTATTATTATCAATGTGTTTAATTTTGTTATTAATTGGTTTATATAATTGGCTGCTCCCATGTTAGGGTCATAAATATTTACAATTGTTAGATCTTCTTGTTGGATAGACCCTTTAATTATGATATGGTGTCCTTCCTCATCTCTTATTAAAATGTAATCTCTTACTAAAATCTAATTTGTCTGTTATAAGGATTGCCACCCCAGCTTTCTTTTGATGTCCATTAGTATGATAAACGGTTTCCACCCGCTCACTTTCAGTCTGGAGGTGTCTTTAGGTCTAAAATGAACCTCTTGCAGACAGCATATCGATGGGTCTTGCTTTTTTATCCAATCTGATGCCCTGTGTCTTCTGATTGGGGCATTTAGCACATTTACGTTCAGTTATTGAAATATATTAATTTAGTGCCATTGTATTACCTGTAAAATCACTGTTTCTGTATATCGTCTCTGTTCCATTCTGGTCTGTGTTACTTTTGGGCTCTCTCTTTGCTTAAAGCATCCCTTTTAATATTTCTTGCAGGACTGGTTTAGTGATCACAAATTCTTTTAGTTCCATTTGTCCTGGAAGCTTTTTATCTCTCCTATTTGAATGACAGCTTTGTTGGATAAAGTATTCTTGGTTGCATATTTTTCTCATTTAGCACCTTGAATATATCATGCCGGTCCTTTCTGGCCTGCCAGGTCTCTGTGGTTAGGTCTGCTGCCAGTCTAATGTTTCTACCCTTGTAGGTTACGGACCTCTTGTCCTGAGCTGCTGTCTAGATTTTCTCTTTGTGTCTGAGATTTGCAAGCTTCACTATTATGTGTCGTGGTGTTGACCTATTTTTATTGATTTTTGAGGGGGAATTCCCTGTGCCTCCTGGACTTGAACGTCTGTTTCCTTCCCCAGATTAGGGAAGTTCTCAGCTATAATTTGCTCCAGTATACCTTCTGCCTTTCTCTCTCTTTTCTCTTCTGAGATCCCAATTATTCTATTGTTTAACTTGAGGGTATCATTTATCTCTTGAATTCTCCCCTTGTAATCTAGTAGTTGTTTATCTCTCTTTCTCAGCTTCTTTTTTGTCCATCATTTTGTCTTCAGTATCACCAATTCTCTCTTCCTAGCAGTTAGAGCCTCCATTTTTGATTGCATCTCACTAATAGCCGTTTTGATTTCAGCTTGATTAGATTTTAGTTCTTTTATTTCTCCAGAAAGGGATTCTCTAGTGTCTTCCGTGCTTTTTTCAAGCCGAGCTAGTGTCTATATAATTATTATTCTGAACTCTAGGTCTGACATCTTATTTATGTCCATACTGATTAGGTCCCTGGCAGTCAGTATTCCCTCTTGTTCTCTTTTTGGAGGTGAGTTTTTCCATCTTGTCATTCTGTCTAGAGAAGAGTAGATGGATGAGAGAACAAAATACTAAAATGACAACAATGACCCCAGAGAAATATACACTGAAAAAATCAGAAGAGACCTGAAACTGGAAAAAAAAAATTAAAAAAAGAGAATCAGGCGAACAGAACAGATCCATACACATTGGATCCTGTGTGTATTGTTTCATTTGTTAGAAAACTAGATCCTAAAATTGTAAAGAAAGAAAAACTTATATATGTATAAAAATAAAATTACATACAATGAAAAGATAGAATGTAACTGTAAAAATGGAAATTAAAAGACAAAAAAAAGTATAAAGTGACAGGTGAACAGGACAGAGCAATAAACTAGATTCTGGGTGTATTTTGGTCTCTTTGTTAGAAGAAACTGCATCCCAAAATTGTAAAGAAAGAAAAACTTAGGGCGCCCGGGTGGCTCAGTTGGTTAAGTGACTGCCTTCGGCTCAGGTCATGATACCGGAGTCCCGGGATCAAGTCCTACATCGGGTTCCCTGCTCAGTAGGGAGTCTGCTTCTCCCTCTGATCCTACCCCCTCTTGGGCTATCTCTCTCACTCTCTCTCTCTCCCTCTCAAATAAATAAATAAAATCTTAAAAAAAAAAAAGAAAAACATATATATACAAATATAAAACTAAATACAATGAAAGGATAGAATGTAACTGTAAAAATTTAAAAAGACCTAAAAAAGAGTTGATAAAATAAGAAATTGGGTGTAAAAGGAATGAGAAGAAAAGTTAACATTGAAAGACTTAAGGAATCATGGGGAAAAAAAACCTGTGAATTCTATGTACTTTATTTCCCTAATGCTGAAATTCTGCATTTCTCTATGATCGTAAACTTGGTCTTAGCTGGATGTTCTTGCTGATCTTCCATGGGAGGGGCCTATTGCGTTGATTCTCAGGTGTCTTTGCCCCAAGTGGAATTGCACTGCCCTTGCCAGGGGCCGGGCTAAGTCATCTGCTCGGGTTTGCTCTCAGGAGCTTTTGTTCCCTGCAAGCTTTCCGTACAGCTTTGGAGGACGAGAGCGAAAATGGCGGCCTCCCCATCTCAGCCCCAGAGGAGCCGAGAACTCGGGGCCCCACTCCTCAGCTCCCAGAGAAAAGCAGTCAGTCATTCCCGTTCCCCAGTCTCCGGCCGCACTCTGTACTCACCCGGCCTGTGACCGTGCGTTTCTATCTCTGGCACATGACCCTGTGTGGAGTCTCTAAACCCAGCAGACTCCTGTGGTGGGCTCCTGATCTGCTCCTTCCGGGGTAAGAAGGGGAGTCTTGCTGAGGTTCTACCACTCCCTGGGCCGCTGCTTGGAGAGCAGTGGCTGGACTATGCCACAGTTTATGGTATATGGCGACCCCGAGCTGAGAGCCCACTCCTGGGCTCACTGTTCGCCGCCAGCTTCCCTGCTGCGATGCTTGGGAACTCTGTTGCACTGAGGCATCCCCGGTCTTCCTGTAACCCTAGGGATTCTGAGACCACCCTGTCCCACCTAGGGTTCTGCCCCTGCTTAGCCACCTGAGTGATGTCCCTCACCAGAGCAGACCTTTAATGTTCTGATTTTATACTCAGCTGCTATATCACTTTTCAGTAGCTGGCTGATGGAGGCTCCCTCCCCTCATGGTTTATCTTCCCATATATCGCCTGGGATTCACTTCTCTGCACCTCCTACCATGCAGAAAGTGGTTGCTTTTCTATTTGTGGAGTTGCAGCTATTCTTTTCTTTACTTCTCCAGTTGAGTTTGCAGGTGTTCAGAATGATTTGATAGCTATCTAGCTGAATTCCTGGGACCAGACGAAACTAAGGTCTCCTACTCTGCCATCTTGGACTCCTCCCATTCTAGCCTTCTCTTACCGATAATTTCCCTCTCCAACAGTGAGAAGCCTGGCTTCTACAATTCCTCACCCATTTACCTATTTGTTCAGTTCCAGTATACATACATAGTAGTTTGAGAATTGATAATATATATACCCTTGTTGGAAACTACGTGCCCATCTAGGGGAAATGATAGCTGTCAAGTTCAAAAGCAGGCAGAGTTGGGCATATGGCTCTACTTCTGAGAACAGATTCTCTTGTGAAAAGCTTTTCCCTCAAGCCTTTTAAGTGATGTGTAATCAGAGCTGCTAATCTAGATATGGATATTGGGGTCGGGGGGAAGGTACCCTGGATTGACACAATGTAGTACAGCATTTATGAGATGTGGAGTGGGATGTAAGAACCTGGCTCATTATCAGTGGAGCTTTGGACTCCAATATTCCTTGTTGCAAAAGCCATACATACTATGGAGAAGGCTTTTTTGTAAGATTGTGCTTCGTGTTCTGTACAGTTGAGCCTTCAGCCTTCTAGTGGACTGAAAACTGTGATCATTAAACTTGGTGAGATTAAACCCTACATGATCTCAAGATCCTTAACTATATCTGCAAAGACTGTTTTTCCGTTTTGCTTTTGGTGGAGATAAGTTGTTTGTAGAAGGAGATCAATTCAGTGTGTCTTTGGATGGCTTCTACCAACTTCTTTTCATGGTATTAACCTTCATGACACCCTCTAAAGGGAAACAACCGTTACAAGAAACTATTTCAGTACAATTTTGTTTTATGCAAAAATAATTAAATTTTAAAAATCTTTTTATTTTTTAGGATCTGGGGACTCTGATTTACGTCTGGAGGATGCATTGAAAGAAACTTCCTCAGTAAAGCGTGAGTAGTAAATCAAATTATTAAAAACAAACAATAGTGATTAATATGCACCACCCACTCAGAATACACACTCAAGGAAAACATTTTTTTATCTGTATTGATCGGATAAAATATGGGTGTCATAAATTGCATTATTTAAAAGAAAATCTGAATATTTAACATAATTTGTTTCCTTTGCAAAGAATACCACACAATGTGTAATAGCTAATACAGCATTTTCTCCGGCAGTGGCCTCAGAAGACTGCCTTTCCCTAGCTCAGGAAAAGATACTTTGAAGTGAATAAGAGATTTGTTTTTCCTTCTAGATTTTTTTTTAATATAAATGGCTTTTCTTAAAATGGTGTCTATACGTAATCTCTCAAATGCTAAGCTTTGTCATCAGTTTCTCTTTACGTTTTTTTGAAGAAAATTAAACCATTTTTTTTTAAGTGTGAAGGTTAGAAAGTAAAGCCGAGATTTTGTGCAACCCCCCCCCCCCCCCATCCTACAAATGTCATTCCCATCCCAGGAGGGAACTGCTGAAGTCCGTTTGGGATCTGCTGGTCCCAGATGATTTTCTGTGCTGTTACGTACATCTGTACACATAGATTGTTCAGTGTTTTTTTGTTTTACATAACGTGTAAGGCTTTTTAATTTAGTTATGTGTGTATTGTACAACTTTTTTTAATTTAATATGTATTAAAGATCTGAATAAATGTATCTGTCCATCTGTATTAATTTCCCAGGGCTACTGTAACAAAGTATTATAAACCCACAGGCTTAAACCCACAGAAACATAGTCTCTCAGAGTTCGGGAAGCCAGAGGTGCAGAATGAAGGTGTCAGCAGGACCACGCTCCCTCTGAAGGCTCGAGCTCCGCTGTGGTGACTTGCAGCTGCCTCACTCCAATCTCTGCCTCCATCTTTACAGAGCCTTCTCGTTTGTGTGGTGTCGTCTTCTGTCTCTTATAGGGGTTCTTTTTGTTGGATTTAGAACCCACCTGGATAATCCTGCATGATCTCATGTCAATATCCTTAATTATATCTGCAAAGACCGTTTTTCCAAATAGGGTCTCGTTTATGGCATCTGGGGATTAGGACTCCACTATATATTTTGGGGGCCACCGTGGAACCTACTACATTATCCATATATCCACATCTTTATATCTATACTTCAGATGTAAACTTGGGCTTCATGGAGCTGGCATTCCAGTGGTGTGGCTTTGGCCATGGCCAGTGCTGCCATTTCCTTATTGGCCGATGTGTGATTTGCTTTCATTTTGCATAATTACAAATAGGGCTTCAGTGAACATTCTTGCCCATATCCTTTGTGTATAAGTTCAGTGGAACTACCAGGCTGAAGGGTATACGTACTTTATATTTTAATAGAGTCTGCCAAATTGTTTCCAAAATGAATGTACCATTATGTATTCACTGAATACTGTTGAGTTCCTTTGCTCCCAGATCTGCACATCACCAGATTTTATTAATCAAAGGCATTTTACCAATACGATGGACAAAATCTTATGGCTTATTATGCATTTTCCTCATTATAGTGAGATGGAGCATCATTTCATATATTTATTGGCCATTTGTATTTTCTTCTTTGGTGAATTATCTGTTTCATATCCTTTCCCCATTTTTCTGCTGGTGTGCTTGTCTTTTTTTTTTATGGGTTTGAGGGCTCTCTGTATATTCTGGATTGAGAAAGGCAGGGGCTCTGGAGCCAGCCTTCCTGCGCCTGAACCCTGCCTCTGCCACTTCCACCTTGGGTGAGTCACCTGACTTCTCTGTGCCTCCATTTCCTCGTGTGTTACATGAGGTTAATAATAAGCCCTGCCTCCTAGGATTATTATAAGGATTAGATGAGATGGCCCATATGAAGCGCTCAGCACAGGACTGGTATGAGTTCAGTGCTCAGTATGTGTCAGCCATTATTATTGTTCCTTGATTTGACTGTGGCTGAGTCTCTGGTGTAAGTCAAGCATACATGAGGAATGCATGCCTGCTTAAACTGATCAACACACTAAAAGCAATTTCTGTCAAAATCCCAGCTAGAATTTTTGCTGAAACAGACAAGCTGATCCTAAAGTTCATATGGAATTCAAGGGACCCCAAATTGCCAAAACAGTCTTGGAGTACCTGGGTGGCCCAGTCAGTTAAGCATCCAACTCTTGATTTCGGCTCAGGTCATGATCTCAGGGTTCTGAGATCAAGCCCCGTGTCAGGCTCCATGCTGGGTGTGGTATGGAGCCTGCTTAAGATTCTCTCCCTTCCTCCCCACTGCCCTATGATGCTCATTTGTGCACTCTTTCTCTCTCTCTAAATAAAAAAAAAAAAAAAAATTGCCAAAACAATCTTGAAAAAAGAAAAAGTCAGAGAACTCAGACTTCCTAATTTGACAACTTACTACAAACTTGCAGTAATCAAGACACTGTGGCACTAGCATAAAGAGACCTAGAGTTCGATGGAATAGATTTGAGAATCTAGAAATAAACCATTACATCGATGGCCAGTTGACTTTTGACAAAGATGCCAAGACTGTCCAATGGGAAAAGAATAATCTCGTCAATAAATAGTGCTGGGACAACTGGATATCCAGTTGCAAAAGAATGAAGTTGGACCCCTGCCTCACACCTTATACAAAAATTAACTCAAAATGGATGATAAACCTGAAACCACAAATCTCTTTGAAGTTCATTTGCATGTATGCTGTGAGGTGAGAGCTTAGGGTGTTCTCAGGTCTTCCCTAAGTATGCTCACCATCCTATATGTGCAGGTGGCCTTTTGGATTCCCAGGAAAATAAACAGTTTATTAGCAATGACAGTTTTAATGAAATCATTTAACATCTCCCCAAATAAAATGACCAAAAAAACAAAAACAAAAACCTAAGTATAAAGACCCCCAATTAGGAAATTTATTATTTTCCTGATGGAGGACTTTTTAGTATTTACATCCCTTTCTCTGTTGTGCACCTGCCCATCTGATCTTCATCAGCATCCATCAGCCAGTGTGTCCAGGACCCATAGGAGCACCAGCATGTGATGTCTTTGGTTGAATGACATCCTCCAAAACCTCATCACTCTGCTATCCTTTTTTCCCCCTTTTTCTTTTTTTTAAGATTTTTTAAATTTGAGAGAGAGTGAGTGAGCACGCGACCAGGAGCAGGGGGAGGGGCAGAGGAAGAAGAGAAGCAGGCTCCCTGCAGAGCAGGGAGCCCGATGAGGGGCCCGATCCCAGGAACCTGGGATCATGACCTGAGCCGAAGGGAGTTGCTTAACTGACTGAGCCATCCAGGCGCCCACACTACAGTCCATTTAAGAACATTTCCATTACCTCAAAAAGGAACTGTACCCTTTAGCTGTCAATCCCCTGATTATTTCCCTCCCCCAGCCCCTGACCTGTCTCTATGGATTTCCCTCTTCCAGACATTTAATATAAATGGAGTCGTATAATGTGGACTTCATGTTTGGCTTCTTTCACTCAGCATAATGTTTTCAAGGTTCACCTGCGCTACTTTCAGAACTTTGCTCCTCTCTCCCTCCATCCTTGCCTCCACCCTCTCTTTCCATCTCCACCCCTTTTCCCTCCATCTCTTCCTTTTGCTGTGTGTGTAATCCCCTTACAGGGAGCACACTCCTGCTTTTGCCCTATAAAGCTTCCTTTCTTTTTTAATTATTTATTTGAGAGAGAGAGAGAGAGTGTGGAGAAGAGGCAAAGGGAGAGAATCTGAAGCAGACTCTGCAAAGGTGTGGAGCCCAACATGGGGCTCGATCCCAGGACCTTGAGATCATGACCTGAGCTGAAATTAAGCGTTGGCTGCTTAACCGACTGAGCTACCCAGGTGCCCCTGCCCTGTAAAGCTTCTTGTGAGTTTCCCTATTTCCTCGGATTGCCATGGATGCCATCATTAAGCCCCACCTGGGGGAACCTGGTCAGTTTTGTTTACTGTGTTGTAGGCACATACTGAAAAGAATCCCTTCTGGCAGGAGTGCCATGTTGCTGGGCAGCATTTGCTGGGCAGCAAAGAATCTTTTCCAAGCTTGACATTTTGAGAAAAGCTTCACGGAACTAGGTTTCTTTATTTTAGGAGCTCACTGCTTTCATGAAGTTGGCCTACTGTTCTAATTCCTTGATAAGCAGCTAGACTTTCTTGCTCTCAATTATGGATAATAAATCCCATTTAAAGAATCATGACAGGAAAATCTGTAGTTAACAGCATCTTAAAAATCACACAAATCCAAGCTAACGTTCTACATCCCCGCAGGCTCTGTCTCTGACAGAGCCACTGGTTCCAAACGCATGGTAAGGAATGTTCTCTTGAAATGGCACCTGCAGATCTTCAGAGAAACCACACTTCTCCAGAAACTGTGTGTAGTCTGGCAGAACTCCACAAAGCTATAATGATCGAGACTGCGTGGGTGCTGGCATAGGATACACATGATTAGGTCAATCAAACAGAATGAGAGTCTGAAAATAAACCCTTATTACATCTCTGGTCAGTTGACTTTTAAAAAAAAAAAATCTGGAAAAATAAATATTTTTACATGAGCGGTTTTAGTCCTAGAGATTTTAAAGTAATATTACGTAAGTGACCATTGCTTTTCTGAAAATTGCTCAAATAATGGTTTCAGTAATGTATCACCATAATATAGATACACAGAGCCTCCTTCAGAGAGGTATGCTGTGCTTTTTCATTTTACAGCTTAAAATCAAATGGAAATTATAGACCTAAAATCCTCTCTAAACTATTGATGAGCTAGATTAAAAAGTATATATATAATGATAGGTTATCACGTGGTCCTCTTCTAATAAAAACCCACCCATTGGTGTGATCTTCACATTTAGGTACGTGTTGGTGTACCAAAAGCCTTCCCAAAGAGTAAGCCAGCATGGTCATTTTAAGGGAAAAACTTGCCATATTCTCAACTTCTATCTATACTTTGATTAAAACTGAATTATGGAGGAATAAACCTGTAGTTGTGGAGATGATCTCCTTTCCCACCTGTCCCTCTTTGTTT